TTATTTTCAGGCAATTTTGTTCCAATTACTGGTATGCGTTTAGAAAATATCTCCTCAAATTAGAATTGCTTTAGTGTCTCAGTTCAACTCCAAAACATTTTCTGTGATAGCTTCACTCCATATTTTAATTGATTGGCAAATTAATGCAAGCTGTAATTGAGATAATGTTGCAAGGCAATGAAACATTTAGAGCAAAGATGCTAGGTTTACTGAATTTTGAAGCTTAACTTGTTTTTCTTATTCTTCTGTAATTTCTTCTGTCATTAACATTCATATGGACTGGTACAGTTTTGTATTAATTCTTGTTACAGTACCTTATATTGCCAAATATTCTTGTGACTTAGAGACAATTGCATTCTGACCACAGTATGATTTCTTTCAGCCAGTAGATACATTGCATATGAAACATCAAATGGTTGTTTTTAGTTTCTATTTACTTGACATTACATTTGTCAGAGGTGTCCAGGAAACAGCTCCCAGCTTCTGCTCCGTATGGGAACATGGTTTCTGCCATGGTACCGTGGAAGAAGTCCAACCTCAGAGCCTTGTCCTGGCTTCACCAGTTTAGTAAAACTAGTCCTAGTTGAAAATCCCCCTCTCACCTTTGTAAATGGGATGTAGGCAGCAGTGAGATTCAAGCCGTAGTACCTCTTCCCAGGCAGAGAGTAAATGAGGGAGGTTCCTTTCTCAAAGGTGATCAGTCATTGATTTGGGTTTGGATGCTCTGGCTTTTGCAGTGGCACAGAGCAGATGGTGGTGATTAAACACTAAATATCAGTGCAGTAAGCAAGGTTCCTTGAAATCAAGTTACAGCTGTGCATCAAAACTGTCTCGCCCATAAAGCTGCTCTGTAATCTGCTTGACTGTGAAAGTACCACAAAAGGTGTCCCTGCATGTCTTGGTGTCAGCAGCACTGCCCTTCTGGGTTTTGCTTGCTACAAACAAAACAGCCATCAGAGTTATGTCTGGAGAGAGACTTAAGATTGGATTGTGTTCCCAGAGACTAGGTATTAATATTTTTTTTTTACCAGCAAAAGGTGCTCCAAGCCTCACACCAGAACCCTGCTTTTACTTTTCTTTCTTTTCTCCCAAAAGAGATAAACAAAGGCCTGCCTACTTGTTGGTTTGCTTCTGACGGGACTTTGACAGTCTTGCATACAACAGATTATGCCTGTGTCTCAAGGTGTAATCCACCAACACAATCTCAGAAAGCCAGTTATGGAGTAGGGTAAAATATACAACTACAGGAATCCAGAGGGGGGAAAACACCAACAAATTATTAGCTCAGTGTGGAATTCATTATTGCAACATGCAGAGAAGTGGCTCCTTAGTCAGCCAGCTGTCTTTGTGTAAGGGAAGAGGAGGGGGATGTAGCTCTGGGTCAGTGGAACTGGTGGTCTCAATCAAAAAGGGCAGTGGAGGAGGCCTTCAGGGCCAGCTCTGCTGCTGGTGAGCATGCTTAGTAAATTCCAGTGCTGCTCCTCAGTATTTGTATGTCAAGGATGCTGAGAAATGCAGGGGCACTTGTCCAGTACACTCAGTATCTCGTGGATTATAGGCTCTTGTCCATGACAAAGAGTGCTCTTCTACTTTAGGACATTTTCAAAATAAAATAATAAAATCCTTTTGCTTTCCAATGGCATATTTGGTGCAAGGGGGGAGGGAAGTGCCTTGTGTGTACTCAGGGTGTTAATGCAGGCAGCCATTCAAGAGAAACAATCATCTTTAATGCCAGCAGCGAGAAGTGCCAATCTCCAGTGAGGCAGGGCAATGTGCCATTCTGTCAGTCCTGTTTGGCAATGCAGCCAGGCTCTTCCCACACCACCATCACAGCCACTGCCAGCACACAGGACATCTGAAACACCACAGGCATTAATAATGCAAAACATTCCTGCAAGAGACCTAATCCACTGCAATGATGGGAAGGAACAAGAAGTGGGAATGCAGATCTAAGGCAATCAAGTATCTTTGAATTTTTACAACAAGGATACTGTGATGAGGGAGGGAAATTAAAATTTGTTTTAATCTAAAGAGGCAGTGCAAGAATTTACAGTGAATTATTCATAATCAGATGTCACTGCATGGTCTTGCAACAGATTTTCAAGCAGGAATCTTCTCCCATTGCTCTGTTACTGGAGAATTTCCAGAAGGCTGCAGTTTTGAATTGCTCAGAATTGCCCTTCAGGTAGTTCTTTCCCTAGCTTACGAATTAATTCTGATCACCAACTCAATTTATAGCCTTTAACTTCTGAAACACTTTTCTTCTGCAGTTCATTCCCCACAGTGTTCATCTGTAAGAATATATAGTTATATATAGCTTATATAGTATATATAAGCAATATATATCATTTAGGGATGAATTATTTGTCTCTTAACAGCCATCAAAAAAGAATAAGTTTTTTTCTCTATTATGTGAAGTGTGATTTTCTGTTTGTAAAACAGGTCTTTAATAAGTACAATAAAAAAAGTATTCCCGAATCCAGTAACATTGCAACAGCTGTAATTATCTAGAAAAAACAGTAATTATCTAGAAAAACAAAGATTTGGATCACCACATGCTGACCTGGCTAATTTTAGTGACTCCACTACATGCAAAGTCTCACAGAGATTTGTCCTAATGATTTTCAAATTGACCTAAATTTTCATATCCACATATAACTGCAAGCACACGATTATTAACGTGAAGGAGTGGGAGTGCATTTTATTCAGTTCACATCTGTAATTGCTAGGTTTAAAAAAAAAAATACTTTTATTGATGGGAATACTCTTATGAGTTATATAGATTATGTTGCTTGTTCCAGAAAGTTGGTGCAAAATATTCACACTGCCTTAAAAAATCCCTCAAAGTCTAGACCTGATTTCATTTCTTTGCTTATTCTGAAGATCTTTCTAAACACTGGCAACACTTGCCATAGATTTAAAGGTTGCAGTTAAATTATTTTGTAGCTATCCAGTTTATTCTATCCACTCCATCTGTTAAGCAAGTGTTTTATTATTCTCTCAAAATGTTCTATAACTCTTGGGATTTTAAGGATTGCATTATTTTTAGTGTAGTACTCTGTATAACAATTTCCTAACAATGCTGGACCATATCAAAATGCTTTCACAAATGCACATCACAAAGCATACACAATGTGACACACCTTTCTTGGAGTGGCTCTCTGTGGCCTGTGTTGAGCCCAGGATGCACTGCTATTTTTACCAGAAGATGTAATAGATCAGTGAAATAAACTACAGCAGCAGATTCTCTGTTTTCTGAAGTCTTGAAATGGAAACTACTGGTATACATGGAGCTGGGTTAGGTGGTGCTTCCTAATGTTAAACTGAGTGGCAGCTCCTCTGAGATGGCCTCTCCTGTTAATTTACTGGATTACTGCCCCCAAAAATAAAGTGCTGTTCAATCTCCCAGCTGACTTTTGTTTCACTGAGAAGATTAAGCAGCCAGTAGACAGTGGCTTGCATGCTGAGAAAACTACCAGAAAATCCAAGTGTAGACATACAAATTCTGTGTAATACTTGACTTCAAATTAAACATGTAGATATGCTGGGGAAGCATAAAATTAATTCAGACTGAGTGGAGAAATTTCAGGTGAGTTTAAAAAGTAATTTGAACTGATGGTTTTAGCAATTGATCTAAATTACTTTTAATTATTTGCTGTTAATTTATTCTGGACAAAACCAATGTTTGCCACCAAATCTTATGGAATTAATAAAATTTTGTTTTCCTTTTTCTTTGCTGAAGGAAGCTTTTTTGCAGGACAGATGGACACTTTTTTAGACCCTCTTCTCTGTCTTTTCTAGTTCACTCCTCAACATATTGAAGAATTCTGGATTTTTCTTTTTGCTAATGGGGCGTCTAGTGAGCCTGATAAGATAGCAATGTGAAGCTTCTGATTGTTAATTAAGAAATCATTAACACAGGGTTTCAGGGTTTCTATTTTAATGAGACTCCCTGTTGATTCTGGGCACATACTGCCTCTTGCTTTCCTTTTTGGAAGACTGTAGGAAAATTCCTATGCAGTTATAACTGAACTTTAATTTTGTCCTGGTGTCTGGGTTGTTAATATTTGATCATGGATGTGCTACCAATAATTGCAAAGGAAAATTGTTGATGGAAAAGCTGACAGCTGTTTACAGCAAATCCTAATGGTGTGTCCTAGATTAGCAGAAAAGCTTGACACATTGATGTTTAAGTCTTTTTTCATGAATGTTTCATCACTAGCAGTAATAAGTCTTTGTACATCAATAATTTTCTACTTGATCCCTCTGATTTTCCTGCAAATTAAGTCATATTTTCTCTTGCACTATCACCTAAATGCCAGATGCTCAAAGCCATTTAGGCATATCTGTGCTGGCTGTCACACCACAGCAGCCTTTAAGGTGTGTGGGTTTTGCAGCAGAACTCATGAATACATCCTGGGTGGATTGGCTCCTGCAGACACAGGTAGGCACTCAGGGAAGGAGTACATGGCATGCAGGGGAGGAATACATGGCATGCAGGGGAGGAATACATGACAGCTGGTGTGAGGGGCATAATGGTTGCCCAAGCAACCCTACAGAGCAGATGTAGAGAGACACACGTAGCTGAAGCTGGGCTGCTTGGCTCATGGACAAGTACCACTGTGAGCCTGGCACCAGAGCTCTGGTCTCCTTCACCCTAGAAGCCAACATATCCTATTTTCTTGTGGCCAAGCACCTCACGCTTTTTGTTGTACCACTGAGCTCTATGGGTGCCAGGAGGGCTGCCTGCTCCCAAAAGGCAGGTGAGCTGGGAACTTAAGTGACTGATACTTGTAACAGCTCCAAGCAGTGCAGAGGAATAAATCCCATGTCCTGACACTCACCTGGAGGCACCTTCTGCTCCCCTCCTGGTGAGAGCTGGCACTTCATAGTGAAGGGTACAGGAGAGACCACACACTGAGCCTCTGCTCTGCTCAACTCTTGGTTGAGTCACTGACAAAACACATGGTGCATTTGTTGGGAGCTCTACTTGCCTTAAAATCATTCACAAGTTTTTTTGAAGCCTTTAAAATAGTGCTCCTTTTCCCCTGTAGCAGGGAAGAAGAGGCTTTCTCCATTCAGTTACTGAATGTGCTGTCTTCCACGGCAGTGCATGCAGTTCAAGGTATCAGACCCTGTGGACAGAAGAACTGCAGTTAGGTCTATAACCATAACATCTATAGTGAGATTTTTTTATGAGGATTTTACTTCATATTTTTCAATTTAGCTCTTAAATCTTCAGATTGAGTATTACAGCTTCCATTTGCTAGGAAGACACTTTCCCAGGCTAAAAACAGAATAAAAAGCCTGAGACTTCAAATACCAAAGTACAACTCTTTCTTTGCAAAAAAAAATATAATAAATTATTTTTAGACACTTCTTATGACCTTGTACAGGACAATAGGTTCAGAAAGTGGTTTCTGAATACTTACAGTGCCATTAATTACTTGCATGTCACGTACTTGTGAATGTGGAAGTCCAGCTGGTAAAACAAAAGACAATAAATGAGAAAGTGTTTAGCCTGAAGACTGAAACTCATCATGGGACTTACTATGTGAACCAAAGCTGAAGCAAATAGGTCAGCATACTTTCAACACAGTTGGGCTTTGTTAGTGAAATTTCAAAGAAACTTTCCAAACAAGTGGGTATTTATAGCACCTAGAACTTTAATTGTAAGGTCTGTTGCCTGAAGTATGTTAATTGGGGTTTTTTCCCAGTATCGTATTTTCTTCATCTCATCCCCAGTTTCTGATAAGGAACCTTATTTTTCAGATAGCCTTCACTCTCAGGTAAATAAGCTGTCCTGTAGCTACAGGTCACCTTGTGGATTTATTAGAGATGAATCAATTAATTGGATCTTTAGGGAGAAAACTGGCATAGAAATGAGGTAAAAAAGTAGATGGGTGCAGTGGTTAATAACTATGAGAAAAATTTGTTCTTGCTTCTCCTTCACAGAGTTCCTATGTAAGCTGGCAAGGCACATGTCAAACTGCTCACAGATAATTATATCTGCATCCCTTAAGCTGATGTATAGGTAAAAATATGATGAAAAAGGTTTCAGTAACTTCCATCTGTGAAAAAGACAGTGAATGAAAAGTATAAATTACCCCCCTCCATGCAGCCCTGCTCACTTTGCCTTGAGTGGTCCCTGGCTGACCACAGCCATTCATTTCTTGTCGCTCCACCCCGACCTATGAAGTGAGGGACACGCTGTGGCTCATGTTTTCAACAGGTCAGCACTGAGTTTTCTTGCTGTCCTCTGCCTCCTGGCTGTTACTACTGCAGGTAAGAAAATTCTCTTTAAGGCATCCGGTAGCCAGCCCAGTCCACAGGGCTGGGTGGAAGAAGCTGCCATTCAGAGTAATTTAAAAACAGAGGGAAAACCAGGAAGAGCCTCAGAGTCTGAGAGGACTGTATGTCAGGTTCTTGCCACAAGAAGTGTGGAAGATGAGGAAAACAGGGAAGTGGGAAGAAGCACGGTGACCCACTCAGGGATTGCCACTGCTACTCACGCCCCACCAGCCCTACCTAAAAGGTGGCATATGATTGCATTTTCTTGGCTAGTTATACAAAGGTCACCATGCAGCGCTGTTGAGGATATTTATCAGTTCATGAGGTCCTGATCATCATAATTGCTGCAAGATTCCAAGAAAATTGAACTCATTATTTATCATAATATGCCAAAACACAGGTATGCACCTTTCTCACAAGCAGCCCTTGACCCGGTAACAAATCTGTCCAGCTGTGTTACACATGGTTCCTTAATGGAACACCATAATGGTACATTGGGGATGAAAGGCATCTTGTATAATTGCAGATACAAGTAAGAGGCATACACCAGTGATGACACCTTCCCTTCTGGGCCCTACTGATACATAAACTGTTCCCAGAGACCCTTTAAAGTCAAAATGACCTACTTACCTTTAGACATCTCTGCCTAAAATGACTCAGATGAAATGAGAATGGATTTCCTTACAGACCTAAAACAATTTTTAAGTGAAATTTGTTACTCTAAACTCTAAAAAAAGAAAACTTTTATATGATTCTGTACTTTTGGACTTCTTTTAGAAAATAATTCAATTGTGAAAAGATTACTTTTCTATAGTATTCCTGATCCAAATTGAATAAAGATGCATAAGGAATTTTGATCACAAGTCTATTTGTCTAATTTTACCAAGCAAAAATCATCAGGGATAAACTTTGTAGATATTATCTCAAAACCAAATTAATTTATAACTATTTTGAATCAAAATGTAGAAATGTTTGATTTCTGAAAGATTATTTCTACGGGTTATGAAATTCCATACTTTTTATACTAAAGTACTGGAAAATATTTTGCTAACACTTGTTAGCATTTTCTGGTTAATAATTTTTTTCTGTGGGTGAAACAATAGTCTTCATTAAAAAAAAAAAAAAGCTAATTTTGCTTTCCATTTCAGGGTTTTTTTTGTGACACATATGTGTGATACCCCAGGCTACTGTTGTTTGTGTGATAAGATGTCTGTGTCACTTTGACTAAGACGCACCTGATTTCACTTTGCTATTTCACAGAGCCCAGAAGCAATATTGTTCACATATAAGAATAGCAAATGGAGAAAAGCACTGAGGATAGACTACCTATTCTAATTTATATGTGGGAAAGCTTACACAAGCTGGTGTAAGTCTCCTGGTGCCACTGGGACATGTTTTTCCCTGGCACAATATCTTCCCTCTGGGGGTGTTTTTCCAATTTGTCTTAGCTCATGAAAAACCAGAGTGAGCCTTATTAATGGTGAGGGACATAAAGTTACCCAGTAATTTAGATTTCTTATGGTGCCCAGTAATTGGCTTTCCTGGGATTGGAGCTAGGGAAAAAAATAATATTAAATGTCAAAAGAGAGAGTGTACTGTCAGTTGCCTTGGTGTACCAACATTGCTCCAGCAGAAGCACTCCTGGATGGCTCAGGAGAGATCTTCATTTCATCAGGTGAGATTTTGCCATTTCCCTTAAGGTCAGGGCTCTGCCAATGCATGTACTCTGTGCTGGGTCTACAGGAGCCAGATGAGGCTCTTTCCATTGTCTGTAGTAGGAATGGTTTAAGGCTTTGTCTCTCAAATAATTAGTGCCCAAATATGTAAAACTATCTTCACATTAAAAATGTTATCTATATAAAATACTCTCCTACCACAGAAGCCGTGATTCTACATGCTGTTTTGGTTTTACAAAACTCTGTGGTGCTGCAGAACCGACATTTACTAATAAGTGAAAAAAACTATTCTACAGGCTTTTGTCTCTCCTAAGCTGAAAACTCATTAATATTTATTACCAAACAGGTGTAACTGAAATGATGAGGAACTCACCTGTATGTTGCCACAATTTTAATCTAGTTAATTTTAAATTTGTAATTAGATTTTCTTCAGCAATTTAATTACTGAAGCCAAGGGAGCACCCATATTGAAAGAGAAAGATTAAGTAAAAGTAATTTTATTGCACATCTTACACTCAGATTATAAAAATCAATGGGAAAACTCCTCCTCCAGTTTAGCTGATTCTCCTCAATATACAGGATTTAGCCGTCCACTGCATGGCTGGTGTGGTAACGACTCTCTGCATTGAAAATTAAAACTGCCCCAAGGAATTCAAAGCAAGCACTAGACTGACCTATGAAGATGATGAAAAAGTGATCCTGTGAACTTGTTTATGAATAAATTACTTTGCTACTATTAGAAAGATTTATTTTGCAATAAATGGAGTTGCTTTATCTGTGAAAACCTGGATTATTTGAAATATTCTTTTTCTACTCCAATTCCCAGCACTTAATTTTCTGTCTAACACCTGACTGTTTTTCATATAAATGAAGAGTTCTTTGACATTAGAACTATATTCAAAGTGGGGGTAATAACTCCTACATCTGATCCAATCAGAGGCATTAAACTACAATGATTTCTTTTATAAAAACTACAGTAAATGTGAACACCTGCTTTACGGCCCCCAGGGCTCTCTTTTTGAAATAAGCTTTCCTAATAATTGAGATAAGCTCATTGAAGTCATTAAGATCTTTACAAAATTACATTTTAAAGATCTCAAATACTTTTGTTCAGCTTCTCCTCTTCTCTTCTCCCTCCCTTGCACACCCATTGGAATCTTAGGCCAGTCTCCTTTCTGCAGGGTTCTGCCAGAGAGGCAGCTGTGGATGCTGTCCCCTCTCACAGCAGCCCAGATGCTGGTAGAGATCCTCCATGGCTGAGCAGCTGGTGGGCTTACGGGATCATCCCACGTGCCGTGCTATGACACATTGATTGATCCATGTCTGGGTTCGAGCCTTGTGATAAGGAGGTGCTTCTTCACCACAGGAAATCTCAGTGAGGACCAGCACATAAGGCATGCTGGGGTCCAGAACATGAATACAACATAGATTCAACTTCTGCCAGGTCTGACTGTGCCCTGATGTTCCCAGTCCTTCAAAGGTGTCCAAGTAGGTCTCCTGTGTCCCATACAATGCCCCAGCTGTCACTGTGCCTCAGCCTTGGCCTCACCCCACAGCAAGCCGGCCCTGCTGGGCTTAGATTGGTTCTGTCTCAAGAGGGATGCTGTAAGGAGATGCAATGTGTGTAAAGAGAGTTAATGGCTCTGATGAGGCCAATGCCTTCTCCATAGACTATAACGTCATGTTTTCCCTCTGCTTCGTCGGAACAAGGGCAGCCATGTGGCATGACTCAGAAATCCAGTTTTAGCAAATGGCTTGAGACAGGTACCTGTGCTGATCTCAGTATAGACAGAGAGAATAAAGGACATGTAGACTGCACCAAGAGCTTTTAAGGATCAGAAATATGCATCTGGCTGAATGGCTTCCCACCCAGAGGGCTGCAAAACATGTAATGCATCAATAAGTTTCCTGACACCTTAAAATTGAAACACCTAGATTTCCCTCCTAGTTTAATTTTTTTTCTTTTTTCTTTTTATCTGCTCAAGTTATGATATGATAATTATATTTTTTTGCCTCAAAACCCATGACTAAATATCTTTAATTTTAATGACGTTATTGCAGCTCTTCAATCATAGGGTTAAGCCTTTCCTCTAGCCCAAGGCATCTCATAATTACCTTGACAGAATGGCAATCAGAACATTCATAAAACATCAAACATTAAAATGTTGCAGTACTGAAATGTTGCGGGACTCAAATCTCTACAAAAATATCTCAATATAATATATATTCCTAAGTGGCGTCTCTCCTAGGACCTACACTTCACTTCCTCAGAATCAGCACAACCCACAACAGCTCTGATCTGCCCAAGAAGTTAAAGAGATCATGTAATTCCATCATATTAACAGTGAGGACTATGCAAATTAAGGCTTTTCAAATGAATGTGATATTGATTCCATTATGTTCTGACCATTAAGACAATGTTGGAATTTTTTTAAAGTCTGGCATAATAATGAAACAGGAACATTTTGCTGTGCTTCATTAAACCAGAAAAAGCACAGAGCAAAACCAAGTAGTTTTTATGCTTCTCTCTGAGATGCAGGACTCTCTTTAGAGAGACAGGATATTCATAGGATTTAGACCTCTAGAATCCCATCTTTATCAAATTCTGAAGTCTATTGCCACTGAAAGATTTGTCAAAACAGATTTGGACAGAAGATTTTTTTTGCAACAAGAAACTGGGTCTTCCTGAAATTTATTTTATAAAAGTCCTGACTAGCTCTACACAACCTACCCATACACAGAGTAGTGAATATGCTATGCCTAAAATATAACAGTGACATTCTGCCCTTGGGTATGCAGGTATCTGTGCAGGAAGAATTATAAAAAACTCCATATCACTCAGGGGCAGCATGTTTTTAAAATTACACTTAGTAGTTTGAGATCAAGAGAAAAGCATTCTAGTCTCTCTGTTACTCTTCTGGGTGATGATGAGACAATCACTTCCCACATTTAAAGTAAGGACAATAACTGCATCTGTTTGCAAACAGCTGCAAGTTCTATTACTGCAACATAACGCACAATATTTGACTTAAGTATCACAGCACTTTACTCCAGATACACATCTCCAGAAACCACAGTTCACACTGGGAGTACTTAAATATTAAAATATTTGTCAGCACATGTTGTGGGACAATGGGCAGCTCTGAAGGTCTTAGGCCTCCCAGGGGTTTTATGAAACCAAGGGACACAGAAGGGGTGTCAGTTCACTCTTACCTGACACTCAGAGTGAGGTGATGGTTTGCAGCGCCTTACACATTGACATGAACTGCATTTGTAGGTTACATTTTGCTGTCTGGTGAGCAGAACAGAGTTTGAGTGTCCCTTAATAAAATCTATGACACATGCAGCTCTCAGTGGTGATCAGTACAACGCAGGGATATGGTGAGTACAGCTCTAAATAACCTGGATCAGATTGACTATTGCCTTTTCTATTGGATACCATGGTCAATATGACTGCACAAAGACCTACTGAAACATCAATATCTCATGGTGCTGGTTAGTTCTTAGTACTTGCTTGCCATTCATTTTAGCCTTGGGTAGACCTTGGAGTTGGACTTTAGTTGGCTTAAACCTGAATTCTATGGCTAAAGGAGAAAAGCAGTGTTCTTACAACTTTATATTTCTTATGTCCCACTCACTAATGTCCTCAGGCAATTTAATTGCTCTTTCTTAAAATCATTGAGAAGGAAGTTTTACCTGTGAGACTGACAGTGATTTCTTACCAATCCACTCATGAGAAGCTCAGCTCAGCTTGCTCTGGTGGCTGACAGGATAGTTCTGCAGCCCAGCAGGAAAGTCATAGCACAATTCTCTTGGCAGTTGCTTTTGTATTTTACACATGTACATTCCTCCAAACAGGATGAAATGCGTCTGAAAACACAAAGTATTTAATTGTCAGAACTGTATTTTTTCTATGCTACTATGATTGGGGAAAATGCATTTAAGTTACTGTTCATTCTGCTTGAACTGACTTTCTGACTTTCCAAAGTCCTAATTTTGATTCTTGCTTGTTTTCTCTGTGACTTTCTAATCACATATTCATTAACAAGGCTAGCACCCAACCAGGTTCTTTCTTTCAGAAAATCATCCTTTAAAAAAACAGTTCAAGATATCCTTGCAGCAGAGACATTTGTCATGATATCTGCATTAAATACCCCTTCTCCACTTGATTTGTTTCTATACCTACAGTGTGGTCCACTATTGTGTATTTCTGGTTACATTCAACTCAAGGACCTTTATTTTTTGACTTTTTTTCCTTCCTCTAAGAATTATTCATACACCTCAAGTAGTTTAAATGTATTGTTGGATATAAATACATACATATGAAATCATTATCAAAATGCTTTATACATCTTCAGACTAAAGGATGCCTTAATTTTTAAAGCAATAGGAATGTTTTCTTGTTAAATTAATTTACTGAATAGTGAAGAAATAAATTATCTGTTTTATACACTTCATCTGCAGTATTTTTTCTGACTTTTTGCATTGGAGAATACATATATTTTAAATTAGATAGTTTACTAGATATCCAGGTCAATACATTATGTCACAACTGGAAGCAGCAAATCATTGTAGGATAATGTTTGCTTGTAGACTTTCTAATCTTTTTCTTTCTCAGACAGGTACAGAATTGTCTTGTCCTCATAACCTGGGTGATTACTGCAAGAATTTTTAAAATCTGATTGTACTAAAGAAATTGAAAAACTTAATTTCTGGTTTTCAGTGAATAAAACCGAAGAGGTGATACAGAAGGATTTGTGATTTCTATGGTAATTTCAGCTCATTTCTTCTTCAAATCCAATTTTGCAAGCTAATGATTATCCCACTTGTCACTGATTGTCCTGTGACCTTGTTATCATGTATGTTTTTGGAAGTCTTTGTCCTTCTTGGCCTAGAGATAAGAAAAATATAATATTGAGGTGAATGGGACCTTTGGTGAGCAGGAGTTCTTGTATTATCAGCTTGAATGGTAATAATAATAATAATCTTGGAGCATACTCAGGCATTTAATTGCATTCTTTACAGTGTGGCTAGATTTTCTTTCCACTGTATAACTTAACATTAATTTTGTGTTTCTTAGGCCTTTTTTTTCCCTTTCAGAGAAGCAAAAATTACTCAAGAACCTTTCTTTCTCCTTTAGCTAGGTTTGTCTGTTTAATCACTTTCAGACCTCTGATTACTCCTCTACTGGACCATGACAGAAGATTCCCAGAGGCCTTTAGGAAGGCTTTGCCTTCTATACAAAGGCAGTTTTATGCAATGCTACAATAAAAAAAAGTTGAAGAACAGCTTGTAAGTTGTTTTTCCAGACTTTTATATCTGTTATTTTTATTAGGTTCAAAACTGAGCAGGTATAGTAAGGTTATACCAAGAAGTAAAATACTTATATAAAAAGAAATGAAGAGCCACTGTTAATGCTCTAAGTTAATTCAAACAAGAAAACCAAAAAGAAAATCTTCCCAACAAATTTTTATCCTTTTTATGTTTGTTCATTTTTTTTTTTTTTTTTGGCAAAGCATGGCTAACAAATGTAAAATGTACTGCTATTTTGGAGATAATGCTGGAGAATTTGGCCTTAGTTATGCTTGTAAAACCCAATTATCAGATGAGCCCAATTATCAGATGAACAAATTTATCCACAAATATTTTGCATGACATTTGGAATGCTCAACTATCAGTTAAACTCAGATTCTTTAATAATTAACTTGACTCTTGTAACAACCTTAGGGCACAATAACCATGCATGTCTCCTGTCTGGAATCAATTTGTCACTGATACAAATCACTGCAATGAAGTCAAGAAATCATGATAACCTACATGACACAGTTGCTTTGCTCTGAAAATTCCTTTTTGCTCTGAAACAGGGATTCTCATACATTCATGAGAGGACAGTTCCATACCTTCTCAGGCACATACCCATTTTCCTTAAAAATTCTTCTGATAAGCTGCTAAATCTTCTGGGATGTGATTGATTTTAGTTATTTTGGGATTCTGTCCCCCCACCCACCACTTGTTTTTTGTTTGGAATTTTTTCCTTTTTCTCTTTCTATTTTTTTCATATTCACTTTATTCATTGTTTTATGCTATATAAAACGAAATAGATTTAAAAAACCCAGCATGCTTCATACCACTGCATACCTTTTGCAGTGTATCTTGAGATAACTTCTCAGTTCAAATTTAAGACCTACTACACAAGGTAATGATTCAAACTTGTGCAGCTGATGAGAAAAAACTCCTTACATTTTTGAGGACTACTGACATTGCTGATACCACACAGCACTGGAAACATTTCTGTTATGGATTACAAATCAGTATTATAACATACCTCCATCAACCAACTGATGTATCCAAGCAGTGTTTCCATAAGTTTAGTATATTTTCTGCAGTGACACTTAGCAATGCAGGTGAACTTTGGATTTCAAACATCAGTCAGTACCTATGGATCTTCCTGGAAATTTACTGCTGATGCACAGAAGCATAAATGGGTTCTTGTTAAGATCAAAGAAAGGAAAGACTTTTAAGTTATCCCTGGGTTGATAAGCTGTAACTCTTATCTCCTCTCTGAGAGAAATATTAATTTTAAACAGTAGCAGAGGGGCTCTGATGGTTGCCTGTTCTATTTTAGAGGTCTATGGATTTTTTCTTCTTCATTTTGGAACTTTGCCAGTTATTTCCCACTGAAAAAGAGGAGTTTGGAGAGCAGCAAGGGGCATGATCCTATCAAAAGGAAGGTGAGCTGGGCATTAAGGTTGCCTTTGACGGTGACAACTAAGGTTGTCACTCACAGTAGTGTGCTACAAACATGTAAATATTTACATTTTCTGTGGTTTGGCTCACTGGAGTGTCGTTACCTACGAACCCTATCTTCAAAATGGGAAAATGCAACACATTCTCCCTTTTAGTTTTTCAAACAAATGGCTTGAGTCTTGGGAGAAGTTAGTGTCTGATCTCCTATGTACAATCTGTACTACTATGTACTTTTTAGCTTTTTCATCTTGTCTCAGTTCTCTTACACATAAGTCTTTCAAAACGCGATCTAAACCCAAAACCAAAAAGTAAGAGTTTTTAAGGCTTCCCATATTAAGTATTTACGCCAAATTAGAATCTGCTAATGAAGGGCAGATTAATTTGGGTTAACCAAGTAGAAAGACACAGTCTGTAAAAATACAGAATATCTTATTCCAACTTCTCCAAAGATTGCAGTATTCTAATTTTTAGCAACTCCACTGAAGGGTGAGGGTCAGAGTAATCCAGAAAATAATCCCCTTTTTATGTGTTATTCAACTCTCTATCTTTTGATACTAGTTCTCATTTTGAATTATTTATAAAGCATTTCTTTGGTAAACATTCCCTCCTATGTTAGCTACAAAAAGAAGAAAGTATAATAAACTTCCAGCCTCCTTTAATATTTCCTTCAGAAACATATTCACTTTTGTGCATGAATACATGTAAGTGTTTGTTTTGAATAAAATTGATAACATTATGAGTTCAACAAAAGAGAAAATGTAGCACAATGACTGATCAGTTCAAAGATTATATTTTCTGGTATCTTTATTTTTCTGTAAGAGGATAAGCTTGACAAAGGCTTGCAAATGGCAACTATTTCAGAGAATATAATGCAGATCCCAGTAGCTTGTTCAGAATCATCTTCTCCTCCTTGGAAGACCATCTGAGAAGGGAAGCTGTAAAAATAAGCTGTCAGCAAATAAAACCCAAGAATGATACATGAGAATGACAAGAAGCACTTTATTGAATGATTAGAAGATTAAAGCAAACTTGTGCTGGTAAGTTGCTACTTTAAATCCTGAAAAGCAACTCAGGACTTTATTTGAGGCTTGAGCTCTTAACAGAGCATTAGGTTTAACCTTTATGCAATCAGTTTCTTCTGGAAGTTTGGATGATCTTACCCAGATCTGTAAGGAGTGAATCCCTTTGAGGGTGGTTCTGGAGCCAGGTCAGGACTCTAAAAGGGAACAAAGACTGGTTTGTCTCTGGGGCTGTTTGGGATCAATGGTTATCAGAAAACCTTTTGCCCAGCAGAGCCTTCCAGATATGTAACTCCCAGCATATGCATGCCTGAAAAACAGCATCAAAGGAACATCCAATACAAAACTAAAGATGCACAACCACAACCGGCAGAAAATCCAGGACAGCCATGAAATACCTTCTGGCATTTACATTTTTTGAAACCCTCTGCATAATTTTCCACATCGTCAGTGTAGTCTACAAAAATGTCTTAACTGTCAGTCCAGTCTACAAAACAAACCAGGCTGGTCAGTGCAGTCTGAGTATCTATAAATTGCTAGATATATACAATTTACAGATATATATTTTTAAAACATAAGAAAAATAAATTAAAATTATCTTTGGAAATGACTGCAGAATGTGATCAAAATTTTATAAATAGAATAGTATGTTCCAATGCCCAGGGAATACACTTGTCAAGAATAAATCCTAAAGTATTTGAAAACATTACTGAAAGATGAAAACCTGAGTTAACTTTGGCTGCTACTATCATTTCTGTTGAAATGGTAACACAGCCACTTACTGTAGCATATGCTAATGTGAACTCCTGCTTACACTATTGAAACACTGATTGTGTTGCATAGAAAAGATAATAAAAAGCAAAATAAGCAGCTTATTTATTTAAAGTAATGCCCGTGAGTTTGTGTACTTTCATGCAGGGTCTGTTGCTGGTTTCTTTAGTTGCCTAAAGAATCAGTAAAGAAGAGCCAGGGGAAATGAAAGTTTCTAATGTTCTCGCAGAAGGACTTAGTGTGATGCATTGAAGCAGTTAAAAGTATAGCTAAGTAGATTAAATATCCAATGTAAAATACCCTGATAATGTGCACCTTTGATCTGCAGCAGTGCAGGGTTGGCAGCTCCAACCAGCGCAGGCTCCAGTAGGAAGGTAGAGCTCTCACAGGAGTGTGAGAGCTTAGGAACTGCTATCTCAGTTGTTTTTTATCAATGGATTGAAACAGCTCCTTGACAATATCTTGAATTACTCTAGTGATTTGAAGTCCTAAGTTCTGAAGAATGAAATAAAGCTGGAGACATGCAGAATTGCCAGACAAAAAGGCAAGTGGGCAAGGGACAGCCACATGTTTTTCATAGGGAGTGATGGGCAAGGTATGCATACAAACCTGTGCCCAAAGTGTGCTGCACTGATCACATTTTTACTTAGAACTGGCATTAAGAATGGCCAAGTGCTCTGTGAGGTTGCCTAAAGTGAAGAAATTTAGGCAATTAAATTTTTCAGCTTTGGCTGAAATGGCTGAACATCTCATTGATTAGGGTGATTTTTTTTTTAGGCTTTTAGGAGGTATGAAGCTTAACAACTTTGCAAAAGGTCTATTTGAAACTCATTCAATAACAACTTTTTAATGGATTACAATCCAATGTTGTCTTTTCTTTATGGTTTTGCTCTTCTTTCCTTCTGCAATATAAATTTTGGATCTGTGTGTGAAAGCAAGAGCAAATAAATTGGTGCAATTCAGAAAGCTAAGATTTACTTCCCCAGTGTCTGCCTTATTTTGCTCACTCACTCCACTTTTTCACTGTCTCACCCCTTCTTCATGGCTACCTTGAATGTGTTGAATGTGTGAATGTATTGATGTGGCCTTTTGCTACTCAGTAAACTTGAAAACAAAATGGGAGATGGCATCAAAAGGATTGCTAATGTCATGCATGCTCATAATGGTGAGCATTTTCAGGCACTTCACAAACAGCAGTTTGTTAAGTCTTGATTATTAATGGCTTAAGGCAAATATAACAGCTTACTGGGGAAAAACAAAACCCCAAACCTACAGAAACATTCATTTTGTAGCTAAGTATACTTGTATTTGTTGTTAATTCTCTTGCTGCAGGCAGTAAGTCTGAACATCAACAGATAGGTATTTTAAACACAGAACCTGTATTTCAGTCTGAGTAATTTAACATCTTAATACTTCCCAACAGATAATTAATTCCTTACATTTTATAGTTCTTGACTTATGTTCTGATGTTCAATATGGTTTGCATGGTCATCTTCATTTCTGTAAAGTGCAGGGATGTATAACAGCAGTAGCAGCATCCAAAAACTAGCAGAGCACTGCCACAGCCCTCCTTCCCTCCTCTCCATGAGCTACATCAGGCACAAAGGTAGGCAAATCACTGCCAAATGATAATCTTGCATTCATTCCCTCATGGTTTTTTTAGTGCTTTCCAGCCAGATTGCACAGACATAAATGGCCATTGAAATGCAGGGCAGCACTGAATTAAACTGTCGCTGTTTGGTAGAAGAGAGTATCACAGCAGAAACCACCCAAGGATGACTGCCCAGGGATGCAGGTGTTGCCTATCATGACAGCATTTGTGCTCTGCTGTGAAAAATGACCATGAAAAATAGATAATAGAAACTGGAAAATCATTTCTTAGTAGAATTGTGGAATTTCTTTCTTAAATACTCTTTTTAAAAAAATTCTTTGCCAATGCAGTGAATTCACCTAAGTTCAAAGAAACTCACATCTGGTCTTATTTGCAATTAGAAGTTTCAGGTTCACAATGAAGTTAATGTAGTTAAAACATTCTACAGCACAACAGATGACCTATGTCTCAAGGAGTTATTATTTTCCAGACTTTGATTTCTTATCCTCTAACTATTTTATGCTGAGGCGGTCTTTGTTATTGCTTTGCAATTTCTAATAGTTGTATTATGCTGCAGGGGAAGAAAAATCAATTAGTCATTCAACAATAAGGAACATGTTTTTGATGGAAAATTATTATTTTTGGTGTTTTTCTCATATTTTTAGCTTGCAGTTATTTGTGTGCAGAGGTAGATAAAGCAAAGTTCCTGCATGTAAATGTCATTTCTTCCTTTCAATTGGTAGAACACTGATTATCTGATTATGTTTATACCAAATCCATGAGTGAATCTGAGGTAAATTTTCTCATCATGCAGTGCAACAAAGAGCAAAGTGCTGTAAGTCATATTTGTGCTCACAGATTCTTGATTTAACCTTTGATCAGCTGGAGGCACCCTGGGGTTGCTTCATGTTAGACTTGGCTCCAGCATCTTCCATTGGGGAATTTACCAGCTGTGAGTAACCCATACAGTGAATTTGACTCTCCTCAGGGGCACAACTGCCTCTGCATCTGCTGATGGGACTGCAGAGGAGATAGTGAAAAACTGGGGCTGACTCTGTCCACCAGCTACAGCACATTCTTCACCATTGCTTTAAATTACTGCTAGCAGTTCCTGTTAATGCTTGACATGAAAAGGTGATTTGAAAACTGCTTCACACATCTTCTAATAACAACTTTCTTCAGATACTACATTCTTTTAAACTGAACTTTATTTACTTCTGTGGGCATTAGAAACACAGGAAAGATAGGAAATGGCACTAGACTCAATAACTTACAAAGAATTTGAGACAACTCAAAGTCTAACATTTATTTTGAGTTGCCTCAAATGTAACTTCAAACTGGAATGAAGGCTACTTCCCTATAAATTTATTTTTAGGGTGGCTCTGTTGAGCAACATCACCTGTTGCCTAGGAATGAACTCTTATTCTTGCCTCATAAGGCAACCGTGTTTCTTCTCTTTTTTTTTATCCTTATAAGTCAATCACTTAATGAGGAAGAGTTTCAAGCCAACGGGAAAAAAATTATATGAACCTGCTAAATAGACATGATTCATGCTCTTTCATTGTTACCATTGACTGAAGTCCTTGGCCATCCCATGTTTGCTCTTCTCCCTGCTTTCAAACTTCCTAGTGGGAACAAGAGGAGTACCCCAGAAGAGTTGCTCAAAAAAACCCAACCTGTGTTGTTAGATTTCTGTCATGTGCTTTGAGAAGCAGTATGTTACATTTTGCCTAGGATGAAGAAGAAGTTTTGCAAGGCATCACTCTTGGGTGCTTGCTGCCTGCTCCAGATGTGAAGGGGCAATTTCTGCACTGGGATGCTTCCCATCTAAGATAATGTCCTGAAAACAGGAAATTTTAGAGTTCTTAATGGAAAAGCCATTTTAAAATCTTTATATTCATTTTTAAGCCAGCATTTTTAAACTAAAACCATGAAGCTTGAATGATCTTGCAGAAACTGAATAGAACAATGTAATGGCAAAACTGTAAAGACATTGTATTGAGAATAATTTGTTTTTAAAGTAAAGGTGAAAGCTTCTTTCTTAACAGTAATATATTCATTCTACATAGCCACCTGAAAATGCCAACTGAAAATGCAGATAAGATCAGCTAATGAAGACAAAACCTCAATAAATATGTCCCCAATTGAGATGTATATTTGAAAGAAAAGTTTCTGAAGATATTCCTTTTTCTGTGCTTGCTGAGATGTGATGAGAAAGGTTGCTTTGTTACAATTGCATATCAGAAGAAGAATTATGAAGCTGTGGTATCTCATGGCCTTGGAAATTTATGAGATTCTTATTTTCCACTGCCCTTTTTTTGCTAAACATCCACACTTGTAAATTTACCCATTCAGGAGGGCTGCATCTTACACTGCTTATGCACAGCAGCAAGCAACTTCCTATAATTCTGTGGGTGGAGGTTTTACCGATTTCATATTTTTAGTATCTTCTTAGGAAATTGGATGTAAGTAAAAATTCATTATTGCTTGATATCTCTTGGTCTACACTGAATAGTTGAGCTGAAGAGATTACTGTTTCAAAGAGAACAGAAGTATTGTGCTGTTTTTAAATTGGATCTGACTCCCAATTTCAGATCAACCTCTTGCATACTAAATTTTAAACAACCATATGGGTTCAAGACATTGATTGCATAATCTTAGCTATTATTAAGTGAATAAGTGAATATTAAGATTTCCCTTTAATAAGGCTGACATCCTTTTTAATTCATTCAATACCTCCAGACCAACATGAATGGTATGATGGCTGGAAAATGCAGTAGGTGTTATATGTTTACTGCATTGTTCAAGGTGAGGCTGTGACTTGGGGGATTGTTGACACTACAGGACCAAGAATAAAACTAAAGGATGAGCCTCATGCAAAGACAGTGTTTTT